AAAACGATGCAGGTGAGGCACTAGTCCCTCAGACAGACACCACTGTCTTCGCCAAGGTCTGCTTGTACCACACTGGCAAACAAATAGGTAATCAAACGGGCCAACGATTTTCAGGGGCCGCATGTAGTGAGCGGGTCCTACCGGACCCATCTGCTCCCGGTTAGCCGCCGACTTCAAAGGCGGGGGCCCATCGATCGCTCTGCCACCACCTACAGGCGAACGCGTTTGCCCGTGGCCACAGCCACGGCTTCTCTCCTCCCCCAGGATGGTGACACGACGGATTATAAGCGCCTTCAAAAGCTCCAGCGCTTCGCCGACGCCGCCTATTAGGAAGCCGTGACATCGATCGACGGCAGGGTCTTATTAAAGCATGCCGACGGAACTTTAAAAACCGACGTGATCCTGGAAAAGACATGGGGAAGTCAACATCCCCCTTCGCGATTCTGCCACATTCATGAGGGAGGGGTATTGGGTATAACAATGGACATGTGGAGTTAAAAACAACCCCCCCACCTGCCCCCACCCACGTTCCATTCAATACATTCTCCCTCTTTGGACTCATAAATGAGAATCTCTTACATCAGGTAAAAAGTATATATATAATAGTAAATCCGAATGCTGAGTCGATGATATTCATTTAATAGAGATATTCAACTGCAAGCACAACTTCAAATGTCACCACCATGAATCATCGGTGGTAATTTATTGCCACGAGGCTACGGGTATATCAGGCAACATCAGTCACGTAAATAGGAGTCTTCATCTCACAGGACCGGGCTGCTTAGGGAGGATATGCTGCCGGAGGGAGTCCCGGGCGCAAGAGAAATGTCCCTCCATTAAAAGCAGGTAAATCAGCCGGCTTTAAAACACTGAGAAAATCCACGACTTTAAAGAAGATATCTGCACGGCGTCAGACTGTAATTACGCACTTATTCGGTATATTCTGAAAATGTGCCAGGAATGCAGAATTTCTCACGATAAAACTACACTGAAGGCATGTAACATTTCTTACTCAAAATGTTTAGAAGAGGAAAGGACAAAGGATCCAAAAATATGACCTCACTATAGCTGAGAAGGACTTACAACATGCTGCTCCAAGTTCTACCTCTAGCAGGCAGTGCACTATGAAAACATCTCTCCATCCTGACGCCTATGCACACGCTGCCACCGGAGGAGCAGGCGACAGAAACATCCCACCGAGCCAAACGAACGATGACTTCCGAAACAAACGACAGCAACGGAACGTACGACTGCAGAATATTACTTACGGACAGGGTACCTTAAATTGGCAAGGCTTCTGCATCAGCTGCGGGACAAAAATGCTGAACAACTAAAGAAAGTATTCTTAGGGGGGGGTGGGTTGGGGGGGGGTGCAGGCTCCAGAACATTCAGGAAGGGAGGACACGTGGATAAGCCCCGCTGCGCTGATGCTGTACTGATAGCACGGTAAATCCACAAAGCGATCGGGCCTTAGCTTCTTCTGCTATTCATGGAACTGCAATCCCTTGGACCCGGAATGTTCCGCTTAAGGCAGCGGCTGCAGGTCCGGCCCCAGGCTCAGTGTCAGACCATCTGACTCCAGAGAGGCAGCATAGGGCAACTATGAAGGCCAAGACGGACGGCATACCCCCCCTGCCCCCCCCCCCGATAATTAGCAGCGCAGTCATACATCAACTCGACGGGGTCAGAGGGCAAGGGAGTCAGAGCACAGTGGTGGGAGGGGGGTGGCCGTGGCAGGGGGGCGGGGCTATGGAAAGAAAGCCAAAACTGATACTGGAAAAAAAAAATGGGAACGCTAAAATTTGCAGAGGGACAAGGCATCAAACGGACAGAGAAGAGTAATAAACAGCGTAACCGATAAGGGCCGTCTCTCACACCACATGCTCTCCCCCCCCAGGAGGGCAGACCGAACGCCAGCTGACAGCAAAGAGGACGGGCTGATGGATCCGATGCCCTCAGATCACAATCTCTGATCACAGGCGACTCTGGACGGGCATAGCTGAACTTGGAACCCGCCACGGTACCATGTAATTAGGACGAGTAAATCCATCCGCGCCGTGCGGGGAGGCCGATTACAGGAGACATGAATAATGTTTGTTTACAGCTCTAAAGTGAAGGGGCTGGATTGGAGTTTGTTAAACGTTTCAATGATGTGAATATAACAATGGACTCAGTACAATATTAACATCTCCAAATTCGTGACCGAAGGTTATTTTGGATGAAACTGCTTCCTGACACAGGACTCAAATTACCTTTCTCTTCTTGACGGACTGTCTTGCCAGGTAACCCCTGCAGGCTGCCTGGAACAGGGCAATGTTACGGCGAGTCTGGTCGTCTCGCTGCTCCTCGAGCTTGGCCAGTGTGCCGGCTCTGAAGAACACCTGCGGAGAAGAGAGCCGGATGAGACTGCAGCGGGGAACCGGGCGAGCTCGGCCGCACGGCACGGCCTGATCCTGACACATGCATTACAGACGCAGCAAGAAAATCGGGCCCACGGCAGAAATTAAGCTTACCTGTTTCCCCGGAGACCAATAATTATGAATGCGCAAAAGATGCAATGGCAGAAGGACAGTATGAGCTTTAAAGTTTCATCCCATGTTTGAGACAATTTCAAACTTCAAAATTTGCGAAAATCGGTTGTAAATAAAAAAACATCTGAGAAAATTCTGATTAAACTGGATTATTGTGAAAAGAATGTGAACAGCAATACTGACAGAGAGGACTTCAAAGGGCCTATTCTTACCTTCAACGCACCTTCAAAACTATCTTTCTTTCTTCAAAGGACCCTCACTTACGCTACAAATTTCTAACACAAACCTTGATAAGCCAATTGACTACACCAGTGTCTCTTCAGTAGTCAGGAAGTGCGGTGAAAGGGAGGTGAGAGACAATGGAATTAATTTCTCCAAAGTGCTGTTTACTAATTCTGGGGATGACGACGGCACTGTCTCACGAGTGTCTTCATCATCAGCTTTGAAGGAGTTTCAGGAAGAAACTTTCTTAGGATTGTGTGTGACAGCCCACTTGTCACATTAGAACCCACAGGAACATTAGACAGTGTTGGAAAGACGACTGCAATTAAATTGGACTGTACTGACAGTCCCACAACCCTGACCGTCATCAGACAGCTGGAAGATGGATGGATGTGTCTCTATAAGACAGTCTCATCTTCTTAACATCACGATGCCATCTCTGAAATAACAGACAACAAAGGACAAGTGCCATATCTCAGACTGTCATGTCCAACTCTCAATCAGCAGCTGGCCCCATGAGATTCACTTCGGCTTTGGTGTCCTTAGAACGTATTTTCTCTTGTAAACTTGCAGGTCAGGGACCATTATTGGAATGTGGAACTGGTTAGAGAAGTGTCCGAATGTGGTATTTGTCATGTAAGTGTACTTGGCAATAACTTTTGCCGGTTTTAAGGTGTCCGCTTTTGATGCAGCGTAACCATAGCGACAAGCCCTGCACACATCCATGCAGTGGAAATACGTTGTGGTTCATTTAAGGATCGGCGTCATTCTCGGAGACTGAAGGGAGGCTTTCAGGAGTTTTGCCGTGATGGATTCGCTCGCCCACATTTCTTGCGAGGAAAACGCTGAGCAACGCAAATGGGCCCCTCTCTGCCCCCCCCCCCCACCCCCACAGGGGCCCAGAGGCGTGGGTGCTGAACCAGGAGCACAAACTCCCAGCTTTGTCTTCAGAGGTCAGAGCAGAATGGCATTCCACTGCTGGCGAAGGGAAAATGGTCACGTTTTCCAGTGACTGCTGTAACAATGGCATATGGATGATACAATGTTCCATGTATCCATGACCTCATACTGAAGAGTGATTGCAAAGGAACAAAATGATCACAGTGGGGTCTGATCCTTTTATTTTTGTGTCTCTATCTTTGGGTTCTAGCTTTGTTAGATGTTGTTGTATCGCTCCTGCTCCAATACTGCTTACTCTCATAACTGAGCATTCACTGCCTAGTGCCTAGTCAACTCCTCAACAGCAAGTACAGTGCTGTGCAGAAGTCTTAGGCAGCCAAACAAAAATGTTTAAATGACCTTCATGTTGCCGTAAAGCTATGATATGTCTGTCAAAGTGTGTCAGTTTAGCCAGTGAAAAACCTCTTCTGAAGCCACCTCAGTATTTGCAGTAACCATCAAATAGTCTTGTTTTTGCTGACTCGACTACTAGTACACCATGCATGCCTAATCAATACCTCATTTATTTACTTAACTAAATTTATTTAGTTAAGTTGATGCTGAAACTTAAATACATGAAATGGCTGTGGTGCCCTGAGGAGAGGGTTGGCAACTAAACTGTTTATCTACCTATCCAACATGGTATCAGTACGTTTATGGAGAGCAGAAGAAATTCTTGTTACTTTTTATTCTTAATGTTCATTTACATATATTTTTATTTTAAATTGTGTTTTTTTTTGAGCAAATATACACATACTACCCAGATAAACAGCTTTAAACATTTTCTTCGACTAAGACCTTTGCACAGTACCGTTTCTAATGTGCCATGTGCCTCACTTATGTCACCATCCCATTTAACATCTGCTAAGTAAAAGGTGATTGTCTCCGAGTGAGGTGTTGCGCCAGCACTGCATTATGGGTAAAGAAGCCGAGCTTCAATGGAATCAGTGGTTCATAAAGCCTCATGTGCATCCAACTATAAAAGAAACAGAAGGGAGCCACCCACTTTAGGGTCTGTGACGGCCCCCGCGACTGACGCGTCACTCATAGGTAGTCGAGTCTGTTTATCTGGCCTCTTCTACCCCAAGTACACAGGCACGCGGAACTGTCAAGAAGGGGCTTCTCTCTCTCCTGGGTGATCTCCTACCTGCTCGCCTGAAAGCATTAATCTGAGCTTGCTGGGGCACTGTGGGCATGTGCCAAGGCGAGGAAGATAATGAGAATACACCCACACCACTCCAGCCCGCCCCCACCCCCAAAGGCTCCACTCCAAGATAGCAGAGAGCATTTCTCAGGCGGTGGACCCAGGGCTGGACTGGCCATCTGGTTTACAGAATTAGTCGTGGCGGCCCCCCCCCCCGGCACTGGCAAATTCGATCATAGGTGTGTGTATAAGAGGTGGGGGTCTGTATCTGCAAAAAAATCCAGGGCTGATTTTTAACCTCAGCTTAGCCTTGGGTGGATCTGTGGACTTTTCTGGATATATATGTGTGTGTGTGTGTGTGTGTGTATGTATGTATGTACATTTTTTGTGGAAAAATGGCACAAGGAATAAAAATATATATTCTCTTAACAACATAAAGGTATCAGCAGACAAAGACCAAGAGTAAAAACTTAGAGTTTACAAAGATTCACAAAAAGCTAGGCTAGACCCCTAAATAAAGGGCTGCTGGTACTTAAGAACTAGCATAACGCTGCAATGAGGCCACAGTAGGGTTTTAAGGTTCGATTCTGCAGTCCTGCACGTCTCGCAAAGCTGCGATCTTTCCAAGTGGCTGTCAGCACTAGTGTTGCACCTGTTTCAGTTCCAAAAGGTCCTTTTTCATGTTTTTGCATAAATACCCTAGAGGCCGTGAGCTGTTGCAGGGGCAGCGCCCGAAATCGGCCACACATACCGATGCAGCCATCTGTAAATGTCTCATCTCATTTCAAATACTGTACAAACTGCATGTAGGCAAGGCAGAACACAGTCGTTCCTGCCGCCATAGCGAGGACGAAATATTCCAGCGTGTATGTATGTGTATATATATATATAAACCTTGCGAGAAGAACCGCATTTTTTTTTCTCATAGACAAATTCCCGATGGTGTCATGAAATCAATGAGATCGATAGCTGGCTGCCTGCATCGAAATGTTTCTGAAAAGCGAACTACAATGCCCATTATTTCAGCCCTGAATTCAAAGCGCCGGGTCCAAAGGAAATCAATTTCGATTACGGTCGTCTGCCATACACGCTGTTCATAAAGGCTTTCATATCTGCAATGAATTTGCTGTTCAGCTTGTCTGATATACTTCAATATTGTGGTATGTCAAATAAAAAGGCATACACACAGAGGCACCCCGCTGACAGATACGTCTGAAAGACGTCGCCTTACAGATTGGTGCTCGGCGTTTGCAATGCAAATGGACTTTTGGTGCTGAGACTGAGAATGAGTAGAGTCACGGCTGACAGACCTGACAAGCCTTAATCTGGAAGAAAAGGAGCAGGACGGTCCTGTGATGAAGGTCAGCCTTTTCTATGCTGGCTGCTACTGATTAGCTATCCACAGATAGAAAATTACTGATAACGTTTGGGAGTTAACTTCAGCTTGATGGGTAGCGGAACTGGGCTTGCTGTGGAGTGTGGAATACATGAAGTTCTGCTTTCGCGCACACGCGTGTACGTGTGCGTCTGTTAGTTGCACGTGTGCTTGCCGTGTTGGGGGAAGAGAGGCAGGAAATGACAGAGAAAGAGAGACATAGCGAGGAGGAGAACAGGAGATTGATAGCGGAGACGGCCTGGGCACTCACCCTGCTCAGACCCATGTGGTAGTTGCTCTTCTCAAGGTCCAAAGATTCCAGTAGCTCTTCTACAGCCTATAAAGCATGGAGGAAAAATATAGTTACAAGCCTCTTCCCCAAGGACCCACCTCTGCAGCCATTCTCAAAGAAGCATCTAGCTGACCGAATCAGTGGTTACCAGCTAATAAATAGACCCGTTTACAAGAAATGGACAACACTCCTGTCGACAAATTATCCACAAACCGATTAACCGATCACAGAGTCGCTGGATCGACTAGACACTTCAGTAAGAAACCACGCAGAGGACAGGTGATTAGGTAACAAACAGTGAACGGCCTGCTTGTCTGAACAGCCAATCATGTGTTTGTAAAGGAATACAGCACATAAAAAGGGTGAAGAGGTTCATCTTCTGTTCGGCTCAGCATTACAACAGCAAGGCGTGTAATCGACACAATTTCTAAGTGGCGTCATACAGTATGTGCTAGTTAAGGTATCTCGGAAACGGTCACCCTCCTGGGATTCTCAGACACTACAGTGGCTAGAGTTCACAGAAAATCGAGTGATGGACAAAAGACATCCAATCACTGGCATTTCAGAGGCTGGGAAGGAAAAAAAAACGTTGTTAATGAGAGATGTCAGAGGAGAATGGCCAGCCTCATTAAACCCAAGCGGCAAGCTTAGCTAGAACAGCTGGGTGCAGAACAGATTCTTGAGGTTGTTATGGAGGTAAAATTGGGCCCTGCTATCTCAGTTTGGGGGGGCGAGTGTAAAAAAAATAAAATAAAAAAAAATCCTTGTAGGTTGCACCGCCTAAGGGAGAAGAAGCGAGCCTCTTGGTCAGAGGGGGCTTGGTTAGGCTCTGAAGCTGAGACACAGCAGAAACCTAAATTCTCTCTCTCTTTTTCTTTCCTCCAGCCCCCCGTTTTTTAACACAATGTACCTCTGGTGCTGGTCATTTTACTGGGCTGCTCCTGTATACAAACTCCTGCCCTTGATAAGGATCCAGCTGACCGTATGTCGCCTTCATGCTCAGGTGGGCTTATTCCAAACCTGTTCATTAGCCAGACCGAACTGGCAAGATGGACTCAAATAAACTTCACCCACTGACTCTCTGAAGTTCACAGGGTTTTGCGAGTCCATTGCAGCAAAGCAGTAAAAACCTCTCCCCCATTTACACTACACAATGGTCCATCCTGCCACTGTTCATCACAGATTAATCACCCAGGACAATAAGTCGTGACAATAGAGCTAATTAATAGGGCTTCTTTTGTTCAATTTTCTGTCACACCTGTGGGATAACGATGCAAACTGGTTCCTAAATCAATGACCAGAGGTCCTGAGGGGCAGGGGGGGGGGGACCGGTCACAGGGGCACGAGGTAAAAGCTCACCCTCTTCTCGTCCGTGACAATGTAGTTGCGGCCGTGCTTCTTGGTCAGGTGAGGCGTGAGCACGTCAAAGCGGCGACGGAACTCCGAGAAGACCATGTGGTCCGGGTACCCTGGGCAAGAAGAGGAGCAGGTGCATTTTTGGGTAATTGCTCAGTGACAACTGGGCTCATGTAAAATTAAATTGCAGTCCTAGTCAAAAGTCTGAACGCACCTCTCTGTTTTGGCTAATGTTATTCACCTTATAGTTAAAAACCTCTAGGCTGCTTTTTTGTAGTGATACATATCAAATATTGTTATGAGCAAGAGAAGGGTTCAGCATCTCAAAACAGCCCGCTTTTGAAGCAAAAAAAACATTCCTATGATGAGCTTTGCAAACTCTTGGCATGCCCTCAACCAGTTTCCAGATGTAGCCACCTGGAATGTTTCTCCAACAGTCCTGAAGGAGTTTCCACAAGCTCTTGGTACAAGCTGGCCACCTTGATCTTACTCTTTAGTTCAACCCATCCCAAACCTACTCTGAAGGGTTTAGGTAGGGGGATTGTGGAGGTCAGGTCATCTGTAATCACACTCCATCTTCTTCCTTGTTCATACTTACTATATAACCTCGAAGTGTGTTTAGGGTCATTATCTTGTTGAAAAGCAAATGATTTCCAGTAGGTGTGTCCAGATTTTTGACTGGTAATTGACATCAAACACAGCTTTCCACAATTCTCTACTTTCAGACCAAGAATGCCTAAACCTGACTGACGTGCTCTGGGATGACCCCTGTGGATCAGGCGTGAAATATGCCCACCTTGCCTGTAGATCCGTAGGGCGTCGAGCAGCTTGGAGCCACGGAGCTGGGCTCGAAGAAGAGCCACATCCAGCTGCATGAGGCCGGTGACGCTCTCGCCCTGGGCCTCGCCCTCGGCGGAGCGGGGAGACGGCCCGCCCTGCACTCGGAGCTCCCCACTCAGTGCGAACGCCTTGGGCAGCAAGCAGTGAACGAAGTGGATTCGGGACCTCCTCACGGTATCAATGAGCGCGTCCTGGAGGACAGGGAGACGGTGAGCGCAAGTTGGATTGTGGGTGACTCCTCCGAGACCTTTTTGAAGCTCATCACATCGACTCACCACTTGCAGCTTGATCTGGATGCAGAGCGACTTCTTCTTGACGGCAGCCATGCCGGTGGTGAAGGTCTTCCTCATGCTGGTGGCCCGGCGAAGAGCCAGCTGGGAGCCTCCCTCCAGGCCGGCGATGGAGCCCGAGAGCACCGTGGGCCCACCGGTGCGGCCCATGAACAGGCTGCTGATGTTCTTCCTGCGACAGAGTTGGGTAAGAGTTGGGTATGGGCTGGCCGACGACGGCAATTTCTCTGGTGAGATACAGGCACCGCGGCCTACATACTTCTGGGAGTCCTGCAGCAGCGTGGCGGCATTCAGGGAGGCGGGGTTCTGCTTGGCGTGGTTGAGCCAGCCCAGGACGTCATACTCCACCCAGTCCGTCCCGTGGCTGTGCCCCATCAGGAAGTGACGCGGCTTCTCGCTCTTCAACAGCAAGCTTTGACCTTGAGACGGGGGAAGAGACGGTGTCACCTTCCCGACAATGACAGTACGTGCCGAGCGAGGAGACGGACGGCCGCTCCCGGCGGGGCCTCACCTTTGCCCTTGCCCTCTCCTTCGGCTGGGCCGTAGTAGCTGAAGAGACGCTCTAGAAGCGTGTCCTCGGAGCCCCCGGGCTGCAGCGCCTCCTCCTCCATGAGCCAGAGCAGCCCCCGTGCCTCGTCTGTCCGGGCCAGAGTGCGCACCTAGCGGGGGCAGATCGGCCAAGGGCGGGGTCACGTCTGCATGTCGGGGAAGGTCATGCTGGCACTCGCGCACACACACAAACTAGGCCCTACACCTCCCCTCCGCACGAGTGCCAGCAGCTTCGTCTCAGCGATCCTGGCATACCGCTGCGGAGACGGGGAGCACCGTGAGGACGGCCGCCCACAGCGCCGGCACGCTCATTAGCGTTAATATGGAAATAAAAGCTGCCGGGCGCTGGAGCATTCACAGACCCCACTCTCCCGCTCCCCACTTAAGCAATTAAACGCCAGTAATGGCTGCCACGATTCGCCTGTCTGACGCTGTAACATCACCAAGCTCACCATTTCGTAACGTGTTTAATGGCTAGGGGAAAAATATTTAAAAATAGACAGAACCCCCCCCAATTCAGCAGCAGCTGATGGCAGCAGTCGTGATTTTATTTATTTATTTCCGCATCGTGCTTTGACCACACAGGCAAAAAAAAAAAGGGCGTTGTTCCTTTAAAAAGATTCAGTGTCATTCCTGCAGGTGTGTTTTCTGTATGTTCTGGTCCTGAAAGGGCACTACACTGACCTCAGGCCTGGTTTCTGTTGAAGCAAAAGGCCAGCCTTAGTGGACTTGTGCGGCCGAGTAGGAAAGGCCTCTATGCCCCCAATCAGAAGGTCATTGGTTTGAATCCTTTCCTGTTGGACACTAGGCCCTAACCTCCCAAAATGCTCCGGACACATAGGGAACCTGGTACTCGGACCCCAAGCTTCACTGTGTGTGTGTATTAGGTTTATATTACTATATTATATTTGTGGGGACCCCACTATGTAATAAAAACCTGTTTTTTTTACATTGTGGAACCATTATTTGGGTCCCCACAAAGATCTGTTAATGCAATCAAATAAGTAAAAATGCCAAAAGTACATTTTGTTTGGTTACCTATGGTTAAGGTTAGGGCTGGGAGGGGGCTAAAGTAGTAATGCTGTGATTAGAGTTCTTCCCCATAGAAATGAATGGAGAGTCCCCACAAAGATTACAAACCTGTATGTGTGTGTGTGTGTGTCTCTCTAGGGAGGGCAAGGAGGGATATGTGAAAAGAAGCATTGCGATGAACCTGTACTTCTACAAATGGCAAATAAAGCATCACTTCATTTAACTGGAGGAGCAGCAGTTACTGTCTGCACAGGCTGCCAACACAATGACAGCAGAAGCGAATAACCTCCTTAAATCAGGCCGGCTGTGATAGACAGAGAGAACTAACAGGTGCGTTTAAAGCGTGTCCTCTGCACGCGCTCAGGCTCTTCCTGCGCGGACAGCCGGAGGAGCGCCAGTCACAAGCCAGCCCGGTACCCCCATGCCAGGATGTGTTCCACGCACATTCCGAAAGCTGCGAGGTTTTACAGACACGGCGAAGCTGTCGCTTTACCGCAGGCACACCGGCTGTCCTTCAGGTGCCAGACTCGGCGTGTCTAACGAGGGTGACGGTCAGCGGCATCACCCCAGGTAGAGGCAGTCCAGAGAGGACACCTTCCCTGCAGCATAACAAGCTCACTGTGGGGGGGGGGGTGTACTTTTCAGTGCCAAACAGCTCATTGTCTGGTCAGGCTGACTTTGCTAAATACTGAAGGTGTATTTTTATTATGTTTGGGGGGCATTACTCACAAAATTACTTACACGTCAGGACGGGTACTATGACAGCACAGTGGCAAGGAAAAGGCCACATGACCCAAAAAAGCCTCCACAGAACATTTTCAGACTTTATCCACAATACACTGTACTTATGAAAGTTGTACTTTATGTCTGATTATTCTTTACATTGCTTGATAACAAGCCAATCCCCTAACAGCGCACAGAAGACACATTTTCCTGGAAATCAACAAGCCACATAAGCAATGTACTATTTTATTTAGTAAATCGAATCCTTCAGTTGAACATCTATATGTAGTGACTATCATTAGAACATATCACAATGCGTCTTATGTTTACTAGCGCACAACCTCACTCTGGGTGAAATATGTCCATGAATGCTTTTAATGTTTCATGGGGAAGGAATCGATGAGGCATTCTAACTGAGGGATCCAGATAACTGGCATTGCTGTAGTCAACGAACGCGCCGTTCCACATCGAACGGCCTTTTCTCTCAACTCCACGGGACCCTCTCACCCTCGGCGCACAAAAAACAACGCTCCCCCCCCCGCTCTGCCGGCAAGCCCCCCAGTGCCTGCTTTTGCTAATTTACCGCGTCAATAACCGAGCAGACAAAAATAAGCATCATAATAAAGAAAATGGGCTGAAGGAAACAGGAAAAAAATTAACCCAAAACACGTGTCATCATCCCAGCTACTTAAATTGGACGTTTTCCTCCGCCGATGACACGGGTTGTCAGACAAGGCTTGTGGTGAGAATTAAGGAGGAGTAAAATTAGCGGCTTTGATGTGTGATAAAAATGCCAGGCCTGGGTTAAGATTAAGCAAAAGGCGGACTTAACAAGTACAACTTAACATACAGCTCCCCAAGTCAGTGTTTCCCAACCTGGGACTCAGAGACCACAGGCAGTCCACTTTTTTGCTCCCTGCCAGACAGTAAACATTTTTGCTGCCTCACAGGGAGCAAAAACATGCTTGTCTGCAGGTCTCTGAGGACTGGAATGCCCTAAGTGTCTGTTTTACTGAAGATTCAGGGGGCGGGGTCCGTGGCGAGACCACATCTAAACAAAAACAGTGCATGCAATGCATGATGGGCTGTCAGTGGAGTCCAGAACTGATCTCGAACCTCAGGCTGTGGGGGCCAGAAAGACGAGCCACGTCGATCCAGGATTTGGGTGCAAACCATGAGAAAGACAGACAGGCACAGAGTTACACTTACCAGTGCTTGAGCTGACGTTTGGTCTATAGCAGCTACAGAGCGAGACGTACTGGACTCAAGCTCATCCAAAGCAAGCTCTATGTTTTCCTAAGTGGAGAAAAAGGAGTGTTGAGTGACACAGTTTAAAAGCCTCCTATTAGTTCTTTAATGCTCGTGAAACTTCACTCACATCCCTAATTTCACTGGCTAACCAAAAGGCAGTCCCTGCAGGTAGGCATATCAACACAACCTTCCAAAGAAACATGTGTATGATATGCATATATTTCCTTTTTCATCAGGAAGTCAAGGCATTCCGCTAACTTTTTTGTCACTATAATGACCACTCTGGAGGCGGGGGAAAAAAAAAAAAAACACTTTGATTGCCAAGCTGGAACAGGAAAACATTGCATTTGCGACGATCGCAAGAGAACAGAGGCTTTGCTGCTGTTGTTACTGTCCTGACGTCACATACGGGGAGCAAGCAAGATTCCCTTAGTGACGGACGTGGGCCCATTATATTTAGGAGCAACTGACATGAATTACCCACCTGATCACACAGCTGGGAGGGGGAGCTAGGTGAAAAGGGCCGGCGCTGTTCGGGCACACTTGTTTCATCACAGTACTGGTAAACCTGTTGCCGCAGGCTGGACCAACTCAGACAGGTTGGAACCATTTGGTGTTTGATTACACCAGGGGAACGATGTTGCTGCAGATGCACCGGTGCATGCATGGGAGATCCACTGGAAAGTAACTGCTGTGTGTGTGTGTGTGTGTTAGGGGTGCCACTACAGCGTTCGAGCCCCATAAAAGCGTATCGTACAGAGTTCCCAACCCAGATCAAAAAAATTATGTTCCAAATTCTGGAATCATCCTAACTTTTGCCCCTTTGATGCCACCTGTGTGTGCAGGGGGAGGGGGGGGGGGACACCCACGCTTTAGGTGAGATTGGTCAATATGGGAGGAAGAACCTGCATCAACTTGCCCACCTGCCATCCACCCCAAGCCAAAGCAAAAGCAGAGAGCTGTGAGGCACAGAGCAGGGCCATAAACGGCCGTCAGCACGCCACGGGGCAGGCCAGAGTCACCCAGCGGGGGGGCGACACTGCGGCTGTTGCTGGGGACATCCTGACAAAATGCCCCAGCGGGGGCTGGCGAGACAACACCGCGCCCACCCCAGCACACAGGGTGAAAGATATCATCACTGTGCCCCCGTAACTGGTCAGGCTGGCCATCCACAAAGGGGCCATTGTGTGTCTGGCAGTCACTGGTCTCAAGTGGGAGAGAAAACACTGAGCGACTTTGTAGCCTTTGAATCTGGGCAGTAAAGGTCACTGGTGAGGACGGCCTACTGTTCCCACACAGGATCCTATTAACAACACTGACAAACAGGGTCTCAATGGAAACTCTGAGCTTGGGGAGGTCATGTGACCCAGAGAGGGGCATGGCTAAAGTATGAGCATTCTAAATTACTACGGGGAAAAAACTGACTTTGTGAGACTTTAGCATAAGGACTTTAGCATGTGCACGTGTTCGCATGCAGACCCGTGGCAATACCTCCTTGTAGCGTTCCAACTCCTGCACGAAGGTGCGCTCGTGGAACAGCGTCTGCAGTCGCTCTTGGGTGTAGTTGTGACACAGCTCCTCGAAGGTGGCGCCGCGCTCGCGCTTGGTCAGCCGCGGGTTCTGGAAGCCCGGCGTGTCCACGATCAGCAGCGAGCACAGGGAGTGCTGGCTGGACTTCAGGGCACTGGGGCGAAGCGGACGAGAGCAGCGGCGTGAGGAACAACGGGGAGCAGCACTGACACGTGTAATACGCTCACAGCGTCTATGGCAGCGATCCTCAACTGTTATTCCTCAAGGTCCAAATTCCACCAGCAGCACAAAGCCAACGTTCTCTGCGTCCAAAAAAAATTGCAGAGCAGGGGATGGGTTCCCCAAAGATAAATTTCACCGACCAGGGGGGAACCATAAAATTTGCCGCCCAGGGGCCGGAATCAATCACGCAGTCCGGATTCAATTATATTCAGCTTCCCAGACATTCTCAGGCCTGATGCACAACAAATCTGGATATGCAACTAACTAATAAAACATGACTGTTTCCATTAATAATAAGTAAAAAAAAAAATAATGGATTTGAAGCCCAAACATAAAGGTCACCAGATTCAGTGAATTTTTTTTAAAAACCTAAAACTCTAGAGCAGGAGAAACCGATGAGGAGTGAGTGACTGACCGATTGACGAGGGAGATGAGGAGAGTGAAAACTTCGGAATAGAGGCTGGAACCCATCGCCTCCAGACACTCCAGAGCCGTGATCTTGGGTCCTGAGGAAACAGAAGTGCTAATGAACAGAGGTGTCCTCTGCAATGCCGGAAACGCGTGCAAGACCAAGCGGGAACTGGAAAGCTTCAGGAGTATGTTTAACGATCGGCCCATTTCAGATCACGAGGGGCACGGGCAGAGTGAATAAAGGTTTCCAACGCACCTGAGCCATCCCCGGACGCCAAGTCGTCTGGGCCCTGCCGGAAGGAGGTGGACCTCGGGAGGGAGCCCTTGTGCTGGTGCTTGAATATGGAGGAGGAGAGTTCCTCCAGACTGCAGCCCAGCAGGTAGGCCGCCTTTTGGGCCCATTCGTGGCGTGCAAACTGCTTTCGTCCGGCTGCAAACACAGCACCGGGCCTCCATCAGACCAGCACACTCCAAGACAGTGCAAGACCCAGGTAGCCAGCGGTTACCGGGTCCAAGGCCTCAGAGACCTGCCTGCCCGACATACTCTTCTGTCTGGCACTAACAGTCACTATAACCATGTTTGTATGTAAATATTTAACCTTACTGCCATGTTTTCCCCCATCATGTAATCCCAAACCTATGGTGATTTTGACCAAGCGACCGCATGCCTGAATTGCAAATCCAGTCATGTGTTGAATTTTTGGCACGGCTTAGAAGGGCACTTGTTTTTTCCCATGGCATCATGCCCCTGAACCCCTCCCCCCCAACCCGCACCTGTCCACGGCAGACCGAGATCAACCTCCAATTTTGTTTGCGTCCGCCGTGCCAGAGGTGGTGTCTAATTGCTGCATTAGAAGTCAAACGCGGGCAGGGAAACTGAGCCGGCATTCTGCACCAACTCCGTCCAAGGAACGTCGGGAGTTGGTACAGAAAACAGAAGCCAGCGTGTCGCTCTGGTCAAAACGGGTAATGGAGAAAACAGGCAGGAAGGAGCCGGCTTTAATTTTCACCGGACAGAACATGAGGACAGGAATGAAAGCGAAAAATCTCTAAAGAGCATCAAATGCTGTGCTTTACGGAAAACATTACGATGCCCCAGTACTGACGTGGGGCTGCCAGCTTTGGTATGAAGGCGTGTAATTGTAAGGGACAAAAAAAAATACCAACAACAGTGAAAGACGACAAAGGAAAACAATAAAAATGCTAATTACAGAAGGTCTGGTAATAACGATAAAGGAATTACTTAGGAAAGAGAAGAAAAATATAAGTATGTTTTTTTTACCTTCGTCTGCCTCTGCATTGTAACGGACAGCATGCAACATGCAAGTAAAAACAGAGATGTTAGGGATACAGAACTTCAATCTGCCAAATGGTATTACAGGACGGCAAAGGGAGGACAGGGACGCGGTCGCACGCACAACCGGACATCGCGCCCCGCAAAGGGCAGGTGAACCGAGTGCGCGGCAAATGGATGGGGGGGAGGCTTGTTCGTGTGCTCTGTCTGGGAGGTTCGTTCACATCACATTCGCAAAGATCTCAGAGTGGCCGCTTACTGGATGGTCTGACATTAAGCACACCACGTTATCTGTGCTCTCTCTCTCATATTTATGGTCTTTAGCTGCTATTAAACGGGGGTCTGGACAGGTATCTTGCAAATACCTGTTCTGTCTTTTTCCTCTCCAAGAGCTGACACAATGGAGAGGGGAAAAAAAACAAAGATCAATACTGCCCCCTACTGGTACAGCTGTATTTGCAACAACAATGGCAAATTTGTTTTGCACAGAAACTGCACGATTTAAACGCGTGTATTGTCGTAGCCTCAAATTAAATATTCAGCTCACAGCAGCCGCACACCAGGGTGGCAAACGTACGCAAATCACACAGAGTTCACAAACAGGGTAGACCGCTGAGGTGTTTTCGCTCCAGCGTAGCTCGCGTGGCGCCGGGTTGAGGATGATTCCGTAAACAGGTATTTCCCTTTGATTAAAGAGCTTTAATTGGCTGAGCTTCCCGCTGGAGGGAAAAAAAAAGGCCCAGATGAAGGGAAAGTGCATAGAGATGGGCCGCCAGACAGCATCACATGACGCCAAGACCAGTGGCAGGCCTCGTGCATGCTGATGTCCGCGATGCCGCCGCGGGAGCCTTTAAAGACCACAAGGTCAGAGTTTGGGGTTCAAAGACGTTCATGCATATAGAGGGCATGGAAAGCAACTGACGGCTTAAAAACAAGAAAAGTTCTTTACCGCATCCATCTATGTCGGAAACTGCCGGAAGGGCGACATTAGAGACTGTCATCACTGCGCTCCAATCGCTCCCCGCCCGGAAAAAAATGCGACCACCTTTTCCGCACTGCATGGTGCGTCAGGCACACAATGCATTCGTTGTTCCTTAATTACTTTTGTCCTGCTCTTGTTTGTGTCTTTGGGGTTGGATTTTTAATTAACTTTGGAATGAGGGTGTCAGTGTTAGAACACGGCTTGGATTCTCCTCCCATATTAATCAAACGCAGACGCCATGTGTATGTGACAGGAGCACAACAATGCATGACACGACAAGCATCCCTCTCGGGTGATAGCGGACAACGGACGAGTTAGTCATTTTGGCATCGAGGAAACCACAAGCAGGAGTAATAAATGTCAATAAACATTAGCCTTACGTTCTGATAAATACGTTCAAATGAGAAGGTGTCACTGGGATGGTATAAACGCTATACAGTCAGTCATCATCTTGTGTGTACAGCTTTACAGTTAGACAGTTTACTGCACAGGAGCAGGGCAGGAACAAGAACCCACAAGCGCCTGGGGTGTGGAACATTACCTTTTGTGGCCCCTGCGGCCCCCAGGTGGTATATGGCCCCCAGGATGAGCCACACAGCCTTCTGCTCCTCAGACGAGATGCCCAGCACTTTCATAGCGGCCTGGAGCTTGGTAAACTGCTGGGCAGCCTTCTGCTTGTCCTCAGGCTGTGAATGGGGGTGTTAGGTGACCAGTTATGTGCCTGCACTTAACTAAAAATATCAGTACCCCTTCGCAGCATCTATTTGGACTAGCATTCCGCTTCCAAACTGTCCTGCCTCAGGAGATGTCATTTTTCTTAACATCCCAAGCATGTGGCACTCGGAGCAGAAACCCTCGTTCACACATGAACGGCCTGCCTGCTCGAGTGACACACCCTCTCGCATGGTGCGTGAAGGCAGATCAGATCAGATTCACTGGTATTCACGCTGGTGCAGCTCGCGGGAAATTACCTTGGACTGAGGCACGATTCCGAAGGCGCTGTTCTCGGCGAAGTGGTTGAAGTGCAGCTCCGTCCTGAGAGGGGAAAGGCGCAGAAAGTGTGTCACACGGCGGTTTGCAGGGTGATCCCTCAAAAGCACTGGGACCGTGGCCTTCACGGGCATCGCCAACGCGGGCCTCCGCCACGACGACCGCCGTAAAACGACCCTGGCGGAATCGGCGCGGGAAGCTCGGCGCTGCGAAATACGACCCACGCGGGTGAAACATGGCACCCGGCTCGCTCAGCAGGCCCAGGCCGGGTTTCGTCTGGCTGCTCGTATCTTATTTTGGCAGGCCGGGGCGGAGCGGCCGGCCAAGCCCGTTTGGACGGGACACCACGGAGCTTGGGCCTGTGGCCCCATGTGACCGCCTGGCAGGTCTCACGCCCCACTTTTAGAGGCAAGGTCAGACGGGGCCAGGCGCGGCGTCCACACGCCAGCCGTCCTGCTTCGAAACAATGGACAAGGGCCTGCAAGGCTGACGAATCGCACAACGACCCGCAGAGATTCCTGCAGGCGCGATTTGCGATGGCGGCTCACCTGAGGGTGCTGTCTGCGCCCGCCATCATGTAGTAGAAGACGTTGAAGGTAGATTCTCCCTCAGGGTGTCTGGAGACGCGCAGCTTCTCCAGCAGCATGGTCTGCGAGCGGGAAACCGGGCAACAAAACATTGGCGCTCTATATCCTGCTGGCTGAAGGTGGACTTAAAGAGGCAGTTCATGCCAAAACTGAAAAAGATGTGTTTCAGAGAGGCTTTAGTGCTGTCTATCCATCTAGGTAGTTCTGCTGGGAGTTGCCTAGTTTTATAGGCTGTAGAAATGTCAGTCTTCGCTCAAATATAACGGGAGTGAATGGCATCCTTTATGTGGTGATTAAAGTGGCAGAAGAATACACTTGAAAAAAAAATCAACAGCAATGTCTCTTAACAGAAATCATGAGCCGGTTATTGAAGATAACCTGTGGATTTTGTACTCAGCAGTTTAAATGTGCACACTATTTGTTTCTACCAAGCTCCACACACCAACGGTGTCAGTGTGCATGAGGGGCACTCACACTCGCATCACAACAGAACAACCTAGATGGGGAGATAGCATTAAGCTCCTCTAAAACGTATCTTTTTCAGTTTTGGGGTGAACTGGTACTTTAACACTGTTAACACTGTGTACACTCCCAAGTGCTCCAGTGTACACTCCCAAGTGCTCCAGTGTACACTCCTGAGCAAAAAAAATATGAGCTAAACCCAAATTGCATAACATTAAGCACTGGCCCATTTTTTTGCCCAGGAGTGTATTTGGGCAGAGTATCGGGGTCTCCATGTCCGTGTGCCCAGCACATGCCCGACGGACGGAACAGCCCAAACCTGGATGGAGGCCGATGCCACCTGGCCGGCTTGGTCGAAGTCCAGGGAGACGATCTGGGAGAATCGGCTGGCGTTGGTATTCATGGAGGTGCCGCTGTTCCCGAAGGCCTCCAGGATGGTGTACACGGCCTGCCACTTCTCAGCTGCGGGGGCAGGGGGAGGAGCGTTAGAGGAGAAGAGCGCCTCGACCATCCGAGATGCTTAGAACTGCAGGTCAGACCCAGCAGGGCCTCCCCTCAAGTCCACCGCCCGGACAGATAACTTCCCGTCTCCAAACGATGCAGTTAATCAGCACTGTAGCACCAATTAGGCAAAAAAAAAAGCTAAACACGACTGAGGCTGTTTGATAAGCTAGGCTAATTAGGGGAAAGCGGAGCAGTTAGACCGAATGTAATCCATCAGGACTGCCCGGCGGCCTTCGATTGGCGGCCACCGCCTCCCCGTCCTTGTGGGTCCACGCCAGCCCTGTTTGCCCTGAAGTAACCATGGAAACCAGGGCAGGATACAGCAGGGTGGTCCTAAGCATTTGAGCTGAGCAAGCGAGAGGGAGCCTGGGTGAGACACCACGTCCGTGTGTGTGTGTGTGTGTGTGTGTATTAGGTTTATATTACATTGTGGGGACCAATGCAATCAAAAAAAATAAGAAGTCTTGTATTTTGTTTGGTTACTTGTGACTTGTGGCTAAGATTAAGTCCTATCTTTGTAAGGATAGTAAAAATATGAAAAGCAAGCATGTGTGAACATAGCAGTATAAGTTTCATCAACATCGATTTGTGATTGGTTATCACACTATTTCAGACAGCCAATGAACTGCATCGCCCCCTGTCTCCGGAAAGCCAGCAGGCTCCCAGCTCACCAGAGAAGATCTTGCCAGTGCTGCCGGCGATGGAGACCAAGTACTGCACCAGGTGCTGGGAGTTAGTGGTCTTGCCACTGCCACTCTTGCCCAGCAGCACGATGGACTGGTCCTGGCGCGTGGTCAGAAGGTTCCGGTAGGCTGTCTGGGCCACGGCATAGATGTGGGGGGCTGTGTCTTCCCTCCGACAGCCCTTGAACATGTGCATCACCTGTGTGTGTGTGTGTGTATGTGTATGGGGGGGGGGGTCACATTATCAACATGCCCATTTACCATGTGCATTACATCACCTTCTCTGATGGTGTCAGGGAGTCATCATGGTTTAGATTACAAACCACTGTAAGCAGTACTTTGCAAAAGCTAGCTTGCAGAAATAAAATTTGACCGGCCTTTATATAGTGTAATCTAATATGTTACAGTATAATCAAATTCTTACCAGTCTTGAACTACCCTGTTCAATCTTGGCAACGGAGACGGCACACAAATACACCAACGCTGGCTTTCATTTCAACTACAGTTCCGATGTTGGGCTTTTGCCGAAACTGTCAAATACCGTAAGCGGGCTGCAATATGCCCTCCTATTGGCTGTTCGGTTTAAGACATCGCAGTGGCATGTTTTGCCATGCAGACCATTTGAGCAAAATATAAGGGTCATCTGGGCTCATTCATGTCGGCCATCTTTACCAGTGACAGGATATTGACGCCCTTTTAAATTCACATCACGGTAAAGGCCCTATTGGCTGCTCACTGTTCATCACTTCATTACACTCCCATTGGGGGACAATTACTTCAGATGGATGACAGGTCTCCTGCACGCACAGACAGATAGACACACACACACACACACACACACATACACACAACTAAGCACCTACTGTACTTCAGTGTGTGCCTGCATGATCTTTGTGGCGTTATGGCTATAAATATTCTTCACAACATCCACAATTGCTTTCTTATCAACAAGATAAGTCAAACAATACCTCACCACTTCCTAAAGGGAAGAAGAAGTGGCTACCAGGCTGATCTGCTGTGAAAGTCAGCCTTTTCCGAACGGTTGATTCTGCTTCCATGCAATAGTATGGTAAGCTGTTATGTAAATGCTTCCACACTAAAGATTTGGGACATGTCCATTCCTCTACAGAAATAATCAGTGTAACTTAAATTTTATACTCTAACCATCCTACACTGCTAATGGTTCATCCTAACTATCTAAACAAATATCCAAGTTACACTTATATGTTGTATACTCAAAGTAGCCTACATTGTACTCCTGGGCAGGAGGGAGGTGCTACCTTCTCGGAGTAGATGGAGGGGGCGCTAACAGGGTTGATGACCACCATGCTGGGCCCAGCGTACGTGTGGATGAGGTTTCCTCCGTAGCGCTGCCGCAGCGAGTGCATGACACTCGACTCGTTCAGGTACTGGAGGGAGGCGAGGTTCTCTACACGGTCAAATGACGGGGGGTTTGCCTGTGAAGGGAGCGCAGGTCAAAGGTCAAATGCTGCCAATGAAGAGTGCCATAAAAGCTACGGAAAAGCAGTTCTGCAACCAAAATTAATCTGTTTAAATCACATGTGATGGGAAATCTACAGCCAGGGTCTCCAATATGTCTAAATATGCCATAATGATATTCTCTGTTCCGATCCCTGTGGCCAAGACAACACATTCCTGACATTTGTTTCCATGCGACCCCTGGCTCAAGCCCCACAATGCAATGCACCTTCCTCTGCTCCGCCAACCATGTGTGCATCTGACATTCTTCTAAAAAACAGGGTGGTGGACAGGTGCAAACAGCATCTGCTCGCCCTGGGAGGGGGCTCATCTCACACCAGTCTGGCCAGTCCAACAACTGAATAAACATCATGGATTTTGGAATCAGGGACTGCACCCTACGGGCCACGCTGACCAACCTTCTCCACGTCATCTTCATCCACGTCCAGTATCGTGCCGTCGTGCTCCAGTTTGACCTTCACCTTCCCCTCTGGCAGGCTGCCAGAATCCGTCTTCAGCAGAGTCGCTGACGAGACCACAGAACAGAGAAGTGAATGGCATAAATCAACCAAACAATGGCTGATAGTTCCTAGTTGAACAGTTACGGTCCATTGGCGCACTATACAATTACAGTATTGTTTCTGCAAGTTAAAAGAGGAAATTTGTAACACTAAACCAACCAACCAGTACAAGTGATAAAAACTGATTTTGTAGCTGTATGTGAATTGTGAGGTCACATGATGTGGAGGGAGGCATCTGATAGGCTGGCTGCTGAGGATAATGATCGAATTTTGGGGTGCATGAGGTAGGACATAGGTGTGGGACCATTACCCAGGGAGAAGCCATCCTTGTGGACCAGCCACACCTTCTCCGAGCCATACCATGCCTGCTCTGCGGCAATCTGCTCCTCCGTCTTCACCTGGAGAGGAGTAAGAACCATCAAACGCCATGTCCACCGTTTGCGACAAGACCTCCGCGGTCTGGCCTTAATTTCACCACACCCTGTACTGCAATGAAATGCCCAGTAGGGGGAGCCAAACTGCTGGCGACTGTTGGGGGGTGGGTGGGGGAGGAGGTGTGGCAGGCCTTCCACGAAGAAATCGAAGCCCAGAGAGGGCAATTTCAATCGTGCCCTGTTTGCCGAACACTCTGCTCCCCCTTAGAGTCGCCCATCGGCATAATAGAGGGAAAGAAAACAGACAGGCAACAAAAAATAAAGGAGTAAAACTGAAAATCACAGAGCTAAAGCCCCTCCATCGGCCTCTGGAACAGGCAAGAAGGAAAACTAATAATTAAGAGGAAAACCATCTGCACAGTGTTGCTGCCTGCCACTCTAGGATGACAGAGGCACCGTATGCTAAGGGACATAGCTGACCGATTTCTGCAAAAGGCTGTTTTTTTTTAACACTGCAGCACTATGTAAACAAAGTAAAAAAAAAAAAAAAAAAGGCTGAAATATTCAAATCTGAAAGCGAACCACTTGTTACCTAATGGCCTATGAAAATGTCAGTTTAATTTAAGCCACGAGTCAGCATCCCCAAATGACCCGAAGCAGAAAAGCGAGGCAGGAAGTCATTATACCAAATAGCCGAAGAACTCTCATCATTTCCTCCCTCTGCGTTATGCGAGTAGCACACGGTACGGATCAACGGAGGCCGCACTCTGAGGCAGGTAATCAGCTACACTACAACAGCCATGTGCAGTGTGGGGGAGGTGTTAGGGGGCGGGACCCCACAAGACCCCACCCACATCCATACATGAACCGAGGTTAGACAAGGCCTGCTGCATTACTGGGAGGGCTATGAAAGTCACCAGTCGCAACAGCACAGATCACATCACCATCACACTGCAAAACAGGCCAACCGACGACGTCGATTCTATACGACGTTAATCAACGTTCACAATCTTCAACGTCATTTAGCAGAACACATTATGGCTCAGGCGGAGAGTTAAAACAGGAAGCAGTGAAGCAAACCTCTTTATGGAAATGGAAAAACGCATTTCCATTGTGGGATATGTGGGGGGGAAATGAGAGTGCAAGGACATGGGAAGTGAATGAGAACCAAAGCACCACTCCGGGACGTCGGAAAACGGGAGTGCTTCCACCGCTCTCATGATACCACTGTAACAACTGGCCCTTCACCAAGCTTCTAGCACATGCTAATTTGGGCTTCACGAAGGAATACAAAAGGCTGAATGAAAGACTGTCAAAAAAGCGTCCCGTTTTCCCTGTGAAAAGGTTTCCGTTTTATTCCGGGGTGGGTGGTTTTAGCATTCTACATGCACACAGTCCGTTTTAGGGTGGAGATATTTGGGGTGGGGCTGGGGGCACTCCACACACAAAAATAAAACACTGCATGTGACAAAGCACAGCAAAGGGATGGGTGGGGCAAGGGCAGGAAAATGGGCAGGGGGAGGTCAGTGGAAAACAACGCAGGCAGAACCGAGGCCAGACCTTGGGTTGGACGGCCACAGCGTGGGCCGTCTGAAGGACGGCCACGGGATCCTCATCCACCTGTCCCTGAAAGACGGCAGGAGGTGGGGGGGGAGGAATGTAAGAGTCAATATTTAACCCATAGAGACAGGGAGAAGCTGAGGGGCACGGAATAAAGACAGGGAGAAGCTGAGGGGCACGGAATAAATAACACGGAATAATGGATAACCATGCATTAAGAAGAGGACCCAGAACTATATCAACGCCACCAGCTGACATAACAAAATGAGGAAAAAGCCACTATGTAACAAAACGGCATCTTTTGTAAAGTGCATTTGCGTGCATGCATGGAGATACGTGGACAATCTCGAATTCCTGGAATAAAAGTAAGGCACAGAGGTCAACTTGTGTGGAAAGAACAAGTTTCTGTTAATTCCCGTTAGATTTTTAGGTGTTACTAACACAGCAGGGTTAATATAAAATTCAACCACAACTGTTAAGTGCTACATGCAAACATCCTTATATTTCGCCATGTAAATCAGAATCTAATGGCTTTACAGAAAAATCACTAGAACTATTAATTCATTGCCAAAGGACTGATTTAACTGGGTTTTGGAGATTTACTTTAAGCAAAAACACCAAACATTCCAAGGGCTAGGTTTAAGGATTTCTTGATCATACGTGATGCTAAGCAACATATCCGTGACTAGCAAATACCTTAGCATTGACTCGTGTTCAGGGGACAGGAGAGAATATACAAACAGGAAGTGAGGTCAGCAGAGTGGGCATGTCAAGTCAGCCATAGGAAGTATAAAGTGACTAAATACTTAGAACCAGGAATATACTACTTGGTGTTCGCAAATCACCTTTGGCCCACAATAAGCGCCGAGGTGCACACCTCCAATCCCACAGGGAGGGCTGTGCCATGCAGTCTGTACACATTGACGTAGGTTTGTGTTCAGACTTACTGTATACAGGACAGAGGACAGCTCCTCTGTGTCCCCCCTCCCCCCCAATCTCCTAGCCTCCTTGTGCAGTCAATTTTAGTTGAACAGCAAAAATCATACAAGTCACTTATTACTCAGACTATAATGTATCGACATACGGGGTGGGAGGGACCACAACATGTAGGACACAAGCAGGATCTGACCAGTAAATGATAAAACTGATTGCCACACACACTCATCCCTGAGCCAGTTAATTGGGGAGCTTTCCATGAAAACACATCATACAATCACGCATTATGACAGGTGTTGGATTCAGAGAGGGAAAGGTAAGTGGTGGAGGTACAAGCATGTCAGCAAGAAAGAGAGGAAGACAGAGACAATGCAAGGGGAGGAGTTAGTTAAAGAAAACAGTCTTACACTCCAACATGACACACGTGAGCATACGGCGGTAAAGCCGTGGCAGGGGATGGCGAGTGGCTGGCCGGGCTGGGGTGGGGGATCCTGAGGCAGGTACGGTACCTGGGTGGGGGTGGGCCCATTGGCCACTGGCTCCACCTAGCCACACAGCAGCCACAGCAACGGCAGCAGCAGCAGAAAAGCAATGGGCAAGAGAAGAGAGGGAGAGATGAGAAAAAAACAGAGTGTGACGGAAAAGTCAAGAAACGGGAGGTGGCGGGTGAATGGCGAAATGTCAGGACACAAAAAGCCTGATGGGAGATGTGCTCCAGTCGCTATTGTGGAAGCAATGCCAGGTCAAATTGGAACAACATGCAACACTTGTTCAAAGAGACCTCTGCTGTGAAAGGCAGACAGTCACAGGAACACCGCATTTGTGACTGCTGAAGGTTGTTTTAGCTCCACAGGCAAATCGTGAAGCACAACTCTCTCACTGTCATATTTCCAAAAAAAAAAAAACAGGGAAGACAGAAAACAATGATGAAAACATTAAAAGAGGCCTCAAAGAAAGCACTGCAAGAAAAGCCCATCAGAGAGAAGAAGGCAGGAGTTAATCAAAAAACCAGTCAAGCTGTAACATCCATCCACGGCTAGTTGGCACAGTAGCCTGCAGTCCTCATGGCGACCCACACGGGCCTTACGAATGCTGGATAAACAAGGACAGCCAAATACAAATCCTCAAGAATCTCTCCATCCATGCCTGGCTAACTGAGAAGAAAGACCACTAACTAGCCAAATAATAATGTGCGTTAAATAATTTTGCAATAATAAATAAGCCCACAGTTATTCACAAAGAGACCTTTTGGTTGCCAACAAAAGCATTGCCAATGGCAGCAGTGAAAAGATGCTTGTTATACTGTAAAGTATCTAATCATGTATTTATGCGGAGGTCCCTGGAAAGAATTAAAAAAAAAAAACCCTAGGTCACGGAAGGCTCCGAAATGAACATCACCCTCAAGCATTTGACTAGGTTATGCCAGACACTAAAATTTAATGACCCCTGTTGGTGTCGAGTGATCGCGGTAGGGTCGCCTTATGAAGACTACAGGCTCGTGTGACAGGTGGGCGCCTAACCTCTTCAGGACAAGTGTTAGCATGGCAGGGTAGCAAGGGCGTGAAGAGGAAGGAAGACGAAATGGAGGGAGAAGGTAAGATTAGAGAATTACAGGCACATTGAAGATCCTCTCCATTCGTCTTTGAGCTTCTTCAGTGGGGGTCAGCTGCACCACCTAGAGGTCAGATCATGGATGAAGGCCATTGCCAGCAAGCATGGAACAGTATACTCCAAAACTGTGCCATCAGGCAGTAGGCGGCATTCGATCGGGAATAGCTCCGATCATCACACTGCAAAGTGGAACGGCTCAATCCCACAAGGGCCCAGACGATAATGCTCCCCTTCGTTTGCAAGTCAAAGCTACAGTGTGGCTCAGGCACCAGCAACTGCACACACACACACACACACACACACCTGTCTCGGTCAGAGCCCAGGCGAGGTATTGCCTTCACCTTCGAACAACCCCACAAACACACATACACACACAAACACACAAACCCCAGGTGAGACCAAACCATGTGCTTAGTTAGTAACATTTCCACACTGGAACACAATCACAATGCAAACTCACACCAGTGATGCCCATATGAGATTCAGCCAGCCAATGTTTTTCCATGGTCATTCACCAGGCTCCAATAAGGACAGCTAGTAAAGGCCATCAGAACCACAAACCCAAAACACATGCCTATGTACGAATGCCCACATACGTTCCACAGCTGCAAAATAGTTCCTTTCAAATATTTTATGTGAAGCAGCACAGGTTAGTGAAGGCTATGAAACATCTTCTAAGTGTCTCGCTGCTGCAACTGCCAGCTCCCGTTGAACTCTCGTACATTCATGAGCTTCCTGATGACAAGAAAGCCTCATGGATCTCAACACCAAATACTAGCTGAAGAGCCACTCTGAATTCAATGAGGTGCACAGTGTGTAAACACCAGGGAGTTTGGTCAACGGGGAGGAGATTTCAGAGCCATCAGTACATGTCAGTCAAGAACCAGCACTGAACAATCAGACAACAGAAGGATCAGAACAAAAGCCTGTTTTGGGATGACCAGTCACTTTTAGCAGTGATTTATGTTAAACTGGGCACACATCACGGCAAAGGTATAGGAAGAAACTTCAAGAACCAGCATGCACGTGCAAACGTTAGACCTGTCAAGTACTGAGGACGCGTCAACTGCATGCATCACTGTGAGTGGCTTAGGATTTCACACCTGCTAAACCGTGCGTGTCTATCACACGTGGAAAACACACTGTACCTCAGGTTTCCTCAGGGATGAGGGTTTGAGAGCAGGTATGAATCCAGGTGGAGGTGAAAGGGGGCTTGGTTTGGCTGCCGGGACAAATCCAGCAGGAGGGGAAAGGGTGTTCACTTTGGGTGGAGGAACAAATCCACCAGGGGGCGTGAGGGGGTTCATTTTCGGTGGAGGAATGAATCCGACAGGAGGAGCAAAAGTGTTTGCTTTGGCAGGTGGATTGGGAGCCGACGATTTTGGGTTTAATCCAGCAGGAGAGGAGAGCACAGAGGATTTGGGAGCAGGTATGTAACCAGCAGGTGGGGTGTGGGGACAGGTTTGGGATGGAGGTAAAGCTTCAGTAGTGGAGGGCAATGGAGATTCATCTTTCTGAGCAGGAGGTGAGGCTAAACTTTCCTCGTCTTTCCCCTCCGGTAGCTTCTGGTCACCCAGCTTCTCTTCCGCAAGCATAATTCGCGAACGTGGCCGGGGGTCCCTGCTCCGGCCACGGCCCATCAGATTAGTGAGACCAGCTGTGATGTCATCTTTCTCCTCCTTGTTGATAGTGTCATGCTTGAAGTTAAAAAATGGCTTTGCTATCACCTTAGGCACTGCCCCTGGCTTCGGGGGCCCTGCAGTGGGCTTAGCCGCAGATTCGTCCTCCTCGCTGGGCTGCGCCTTCTGTACCATCCGCCGGATCACCTTCCTGGGGCCCACACTCTGCTCCTCAGGGCCGTTCAGTGTGCCTTTGCTCCCACTGTCTCCATTGAGAATGGGAGGCTCCGGACTCTTAAAGCGCCCGGGTGCACCGGGTGGCTCGGTGCTCCGGAAGGACGGCCGGCCTCGGGGAAGCTCGGGGCTCTTTCGCTGCTCCTGCTGGGGCTCAGGGCTCTTGGCGCGCAGCAGCGCCCGAGCAGGATTCAGGCTGGGTACAGACTGGGACCGGCTGCTCATGCTGCCGTCACTGTTAGACTGCTAGGGCAGCAAGTCATGTGGGGGTGAACAGAGCTGACATTAGGCAACAGCAACATTCCCCATGAAACAACTGGAAAGAGACAGAGTTCTGGCTCTGCCTTTATGACAGACTCTCCCATGAGACCCAGACTCACGCATCATCTCCCCAAGCAGCTCAGCACCACTCAACGTGCCCCAGCTCTCAGACACGTTTAACCCAAACTATGCTACTGTACCATTATCCACTGGGCTGCATGTGTTAAATAGACCTCATTACCGCTGCTGTCACCTTGGAGCGCAGGTTCGGAACACAAGGCAGGGGGAATTGTGAACGGAGAGTGAGTGTGTGAATGAGAATAAGAGTCCCGGCAATCCCAACGTGCTGTTTAAAGACCACATTCCTACATCAAGGCTGCTTCTGCTTTTCTGGGCAGGCGTATG